AGCTGCCGAGGGCGCCGTGTGAATAGGGACCTCTCTATTCACACGTGCCGCACAGCTGTTGGCGACTGTCTACCTGGTGCCTTGCTCGGCATCCCCCTGTTCGGTGTTCATCGGCTCCCACAACAACAGATGCCCACACGTGTCCCAAAAGCACACTTCCCCACGACTCGAACACCGTTAGTCCCGGAGAAGCTGCACAGTGGGAAGAAAGAGACGCAAGCTCAGGCGACCTCTTGCCCAGCTCCTAGCATTTACAGCTAGCTTCGCCCTGCGGACAACCGGGTCCTCCACGTATTTAAAGTGTCGGACTTATCCTATTCCGTTTTATTCTGTTCTATTCTGCAGTGCAGGGCTTGTGTTCTCCCGGCGCACACGCTTAGCCTGCAACAGACGAGCCCAGCGCAGCGAGGGCGCAGCTTCCCCTCCCTCCTCGGAGCAAATGCGACCGGGCACAATCGACGCCCCTTCGCAGCTTTTCTTTCCACCCGCTGCAGGGGATTCTCAGACAGCCCCCTCCCCTCCCCTCCCCTCCCCTCCCCTCCCCGCAGAAAGACCCGTGGGAAAACCAACCACACGTCAAGGTGCGAATGGCCCCCCGCCGGGCGCCTGCCCTTTGATGCGCCCCTCTAAGTGACACCCTTTTAGCACCTCCCGGGCGTCGACAAGAGCCGCGCTCGCCGGCCAGAAGGCACGAGCCTTCGCACCCTCTGCGCCTGCCGGAGCCCCCGGGGGCCGGGGGGGGGGGCGCGCTGCGACGGGCGGGTCGCGGGCGCGGCGGGTCGCGGCGCTCACTCTGCGGATCAAAGACCCCGAAGCGCCCAGGGCAACGCCGCGGACGGCGCACGTGGCCCCTGCTCGCCTGGCGGGGGCGGGGGGGGGGCGAGGGGGACAGGCTCGCTCTGCACGCGCGCAGAGACACGCTCTTCCTTCCTGCGGCTCCTCTCCCGGGAGGAACCTTGGTCCCTAAATAACCTTGGGGACGGGAAAGATCGAGGGGCAGCGAGCTGTAAAATAATCAAACCCACCCCCAGCTTGACTCGGAGCTGGGAGGACTTTCCGAGTTTTCTTGCGTTTTTCTTTTCTGTGACCTGGAAAATAGGGATTGAAAGAAAATATATTTCACTTCCCGAGGGAGGAACTGCCCCACACACGCCGAGAAGGCGTCTTATGCCATGGACGCGGCCATCCAGCTGTGGCGCAGCTCGCATTGGTGGTTCAGTGGTAGAATTCTCGCCTGCCACGCGGGAGGCCGGGGTTCGATTCCCGGCCAATGCAACGCGTCTCTTTTTAACCTCCGCTCATTTCAAAAGATATAAAATGTTGCTTCCTTCCTTTCCTACCGCTGCCAATACTCACGGTCAGGACTGTTTTTCCCCTTTACTCCATGCATGTTTCTACCAAACGGCCTGATTTAGCTTTGAGGCCACGCTCTCTCTTTCTACGCATGCAAGAATAAAGTACCCCGCGGAGAAAAATAATTATCCTATTGGGAACGTCGATTCCTGCAAATCGGCAAAAAAAGCATTCGGTTGGGGCTCAAAAGGGAAGTTGCATTGGCCGGGAATCGAACCCGGGCCTCCCGCGTGGCAGGCGAGAATTCTACCACTGAACCACCAATGCGCCTTGCGAAACACGCTTTCTCTCCGGCATCCTTACGACACGCTTCTCCTTACGTGTCTCCTGCCTGTTCTTGGGAAAGAACGTCTGCGAGGACTCGCAAGATTCTTCGTTGTTGTTTGTTTACACCCCATTAATCTGCTTTTACTCCAGTTCTGCAAGGAGGGCTGGAAAGGTGGGACAGGATAGGACCGGAAATAAAATGGAAAGCTGTTGGAATGACAAAACTCCTGAGGTTGTAAGTTTTTAAAACTCCAGGAAAGATTCGGGGGCGTAAATACAGCCATCAAAGTCACACGGCTCTCGCAGTGGAACATTCCCTCCTTGACAGCAGCTTTGGCCAAGCAGGTGCCCTTCCAGAGGTGTTGGACTACAATTTCTATTATGGGGTGATGGGAGAAGTAGTCCAGCATTTCTGACCATGCTGGGCGGAGATAATGGAGGTTGCCGTAAAACACGGCTGGCCATGCCTCAGGAGGATGGGACCTGAAGTACAGCCCGGGGTTGATAGAAGTTGCGGAGCAGCACCTCCTCAGAGCCCCTTCCTCATCCTGGCGAGCTTCCGATTTTCCGCGTGGCTTCTCGGGCCGGACTTTCTTCCTCGCCGGCCCATAAAATGCGGACCTCAAGGGTCGCCTGGGGCCGCTCCTTCAGCCGCCACTCTCCTCGCCCGGCACACACGCGCACACCCCTGTCACTGCCTACCTCGCCGGACTGTTGTGAAGTGGGGCAAAAAGCCTCAAGCGCTGGGCGGGGCCATCTCGCTGACCTAGGGAGTGCGATTTCTGGAATATCTGAGGAGGGGGCTTCCCTTGGAAACACACGTGTCAGCCCCCACCTGCCCGGTTCCGTCGCCTCCCCACGCCCAGCCCCTCCACGACACGCACCCCTGTTCCTCCCCTTGCTTCCACCCGTCTTTCGGGGGCTGCTTTTGCTCGGCGCTGTTTCCCAGTTCTGCGCACATCTGGGTTCTTCTACCTGCACACGGGGGACAAATTCCCCTCCTTGCCACAGCTGGCTTGGCCCAGATGCATTTTCCTTGCCACCCTGAGCATGGTAACCCTCTCTTCTCGCCCCCCCCCCCGCAAGCATATCCCCCTCTGGTTGCCAGATGTGCTCCGGGGGCGAGAGTCCCCTGCCCAGCTCTGCTGAAGCGACTCTCGAGCTGCAGTCAGAGCCTAACTTTCAAAAACTCGGGGGCCCTTCACTGGCTGCGCAACAAAACCCACATTTTCTACTTTTTTCCCCATTGTTTGAAAAAAAGGAAGGAACAAACCATCATCCCCTACAAGCAGTGTATGAGTGCAGGAGCAGCCCCCCACACACCCATGTTCCCCAGCGACTGGTGTACGCAGGCACGCTGCCTTCAGTGTGGAGGTAGCCATCTGAAGATGGAGTTCACAGCCACTGAATGCCTCCTTCTCTGGGAATTTCTCCGCCCCACCCCCCCAAAGCAGCTGGACTGGTGGCCACCCCACCCTGATGTGCCCACAGTCGGCTTTGGGGCGGGGGGGGGACCCGTGCACGGCGCTCTCTCCACGTCGCCCAGGCCACGCGTAACTCGCCTTGGTCCCAAGTTCAACAATCCCAGATACTGTAACCTTTCCTCCTATGGGAGTTGCTCCAGCCTTTTTAACATCTGTCCTGTTTCCCACCCCATCATATCCATTTCAAGGTGCAGTGACCTGCACAGTCCACAGATTTGTAAGTGAAATCAGACTGTAGATTTGTGTGAGGCGAGTACAATCTGGGCCAGTGCGTTTTAATTTCTTTTGTCAATTATACCAAACATGAAGTCTGCACATTTCACAGCAGCTGGGCCCTGGGGTGGCACCACAATAATTTTCCTCCATTGGCTCAAATCCCACCTGTTTATACATGAAATGGAGCAACCCCCCCCCCCAAAAAAACCCTTTACACTTGCTTACATATTTCCCATGGCTGCAAATTATGGGTTGTTGTATCCTAGACATGAATGGGCTAGATTGGGCTTGTTCTTACGACAGAGTCACACGGGATGCAACCCACTGAGTGGAAGAACAGGAAAAAAAGTCAGCGTAGCCTCGTCCCAAGCGTGGCGGGGTGAAGCAACAGGAGACACCTCTCTTGCTGACTTCCCAAAATAATTAAAAGTCAGGTTTTACAGATGTACATAGATCTATGGTGGGGTGAACTGGTAATTCTGCCATGGCATACACGCTAACAGACACATTTTCAGAAATCAAGCTCTGGAATACCACTGATGTTTCGCTTGGTCTTGTTCTTCATCATGGCACATGTTGGATTACAACTCCCAAATGCCCTGCTAACTGGTGATGAAAGACGCTGCAGTCAACACATCTGGAGAGCGCCAGGTTGGGGAATGGTACTCATGGAACAACATGGACTGCCTGGTTGTGACTTGAATCACAACAGTGTGCAAATATGAACACTGAGATCATTTGAAAAGAAGAAGAAAATGGCTTTTGAAATTCATTAGTGGGGGCAGTCCCCCATTTTACTTTTTTTTAATGAAATGTTCACTTTTTTGCTAATGAATCAAAGAGCCAAAATGTTAAATTAAAACAAAACAAAGAAAGACTTGTTGACCTTAAAAAGAAATGCTTTGCCAGTCCAGCTCAGCAAATCGCCAACAGCGGACCGTGCATTTAACTCTCTCGTTTAGCCTGCAGTTTTAAGTTGCGTATTTCATGGTCATCCTGTAAGTTGGCCTTATGGCGCCACATCGATTTTACGTGGTCATTTCTCCAAATTGCGCCGGAGCTGCTGGCGTCCAGCTGCCTCGGCTCGCCTTGACTCTCCGCCCGCAGGGCCACCGTGCCTGGGTGGGTGTGCGAGAGCGGAGAAAGCGAGGCGTTTGCAGGCCAGGCTGATCTGCCTCCTTCCAGCCTGAGAGCCCCTCGGATGGCCGTGGCGCGCACGCCCTGCGCCGGCCTGCTCTTCACACCTCTGGCGGGCGGCGAGTGGCGGAGGGCGGCCCGAAGTGTGGGATGCGCCTAGAGGGCCATTAAAGGGGGCTGCAGGGGGCCCGCGGGGGCTGGCTCATTGGCCATCCTGCGGGGAGAGAGGCAGGGGAGGAAAGAACGCGGGGGCTTCAGCGGCGATGGTGACCAACACGGAGAGCTCTGAGCCAGGAGGGGCGAGAAAGGTATCCGGGCCCCAGGAGGGGAGCTGCAGCGCTGGAGCGGGCAGAGGGGCTGCGCGGGGGGACGGAGGCGGCTGCTGCGCGTCCGGCAGGCGGAGGGAGGAGGAGGAGGAGGCAGGCGCGGGCCAGGCGCCGAGAGCCGCCGCCGCCGCTCCCTCGCACGTTGGCGCTGCCGGGGACGCGCGTCGCGCCTTTCGGGAAGCCACGAAAGCTGGAGCCCGCGGAGGGCTGCTCATCCATGGCGGGCGGCTTGCGGCCTCCGGGGGGTGCGGGAGCGGCACAGAAAGAAGGGGGCCGCCGCAGGCAGAAGCGCCGTGGCATCCCGAGCTTGCCCGGTGCGTCCCCGGGAAGGGTCTGAAGGCTTGCTTTGATACAGGCCGGGCTTTCTCCGGCTTGGCGCCCTCCGGGGGGGCGGTGGGAACGGAATTATGGCGCGCTTAGGACAGAGCCAGACAAGCCGGGCGCGGGGAGAAGCCCCCCCCCCCCACGACCCCGTCCGGCGATCGGGCCCGGGCCCCGCGCAGCGCCAGCCGGGGCTGCCCCGGCCCGCCGACCCGCCCTCTCCCGGTCCCAGGCGCGGGGCGCGCAGAAGCGCTCGGCCGGCCCTCTGGTTCTCCTCCAGGGGAAAAGACAAAGCCCAGATCGGAGGGGAGGGGGGGGCGTGCGGAGAGGGGAGGCCGGGCGGGGGGGTGCTGAAGAGCGGAACGGGGGTCCGGGAGGGACTGGCCGCCCGCCGGGACGCGGTTTTCCAGGCGGGACCTCCAGCGATCCTGCGGGCTATGCACAACTCGGCTGAGTTGGGAAGGGAGGGATCGCGGGGGGAGGGGGGGCTCGGCGGGGAACTGGGTGGAGGGAGGGGCACACACTCCTTCGGAGAGCATTCTGGGGGGGGGGTTGTGGAATTTGCCGGGGAGGGGCCAGCTCTGGGGTCCGGAGGAGCAAAGCACACACCGGAGGGGCACCGGGGGTGGGGTTGTTGTTGTTGTTGTTCTCATCATCATCATTATGACGTTTATATCTTGCAAGGAACCCCAGGCAGCTTCCATAGTCCTCCTCCTCTCCATCTTATCCTCACAACAACAACCCTGTGAGGTAGGTTAGGCTGAGAGTCCATGAGCGGCCCAAAGTCACCCAGGGAGCGGCAGGGCTGAAGGGGACTACACTCGGTCGCCGGCGCCCCAGGCCACGTTAACCGCTGCACCCGCTGGCTCGAGAGGAGCTCCGGCCCGCAGATCAGATCGGTGCAAGAGAAAGACCCTGCTCCGCATTCGCATCCCTGAAGCTGGCCCAGGTTTCCCTCCAGAGGAGTTGCACTACAACTCTCGTCATCCACAGCCAGCACGACACTCTTCCCCAATCTGCCAGCCTCCGGAATGTTCGTTGGACTCTGCTCCCCATCATCCCCAGCCAGCATGGGTGGTGGGGTTGATTGGAGCTGTAGTCCGAGAAATCTGGAAGATGGGGAAGACTGTCCTACGGGGTTTGAGGATGCTTGCTTTCGAGGAAGTGCTGAGTTATTCTGCCATCGGAGATGGATCGGGGAAGAAAGGGCCGTGCGGATGCGCGTCTCTCGGCAGCACAGCCCCTCCAGCGCAGGGGCCCAGCCCAGCCCTCCCAGCGTCCCCAGATGGCCCCGCCCCGATCCCCTAGCCCCGCCCCTTCACCTCCCCCTCCCCCTCGGGTCCCTTCCCCATTTTCCCAGCCTCCCTTCCCCCCTTGCCTCTCCGCCACTGCAGCGCCGCCAGCCCCCGACCCCGAAAGTTTCTCCAAAGCCGGGAAAGGGGTTTCAACACCCCTGGGGGTGCGTCTCAGAGGAGCCGCCCACCCCATCCAGGGGTCACCCCCCAATTGTTTGTCTGTTCAGATGCTGAAGCCCCTGGTGGAGAAACGCCGCCGCGACCACATCAACAGGAGCTTGGAGGAACTTCGCCTGCTCCTCCTGCAGAGAACCCACTGCCAGGTCAGTGAGCAGGGCCCCCTGCACCCGCCCCCGGCCCCCCAGCCCTGCGCCCCGCGCTGGACTTTCCCAGCGGGGTTGCTCCGGATCCTGGCCAGCCCGAGGTCCAGACAACTGCACTGTCCTAAGGTTCCCTAGGAAGCACCAGGATTAAGTGAACCCCTTCAAGTGAATTGAGGCGGATTGTGTGCTTATTTCCTTAACTGCCAGCAGGCGGAGCTACTGCTCTAAAAAGCAACGATTAATGCAAAGGCAAGCCTGCGTGGCGTTCTTAACACTGCAGACAGATGCAGGTGGCCCTGGGCACTCGGTCAGGTATTTGTGGTCATTCCCACTCTGCCCAGCCCACATTCCCCCAGGAGTAAGTGCTTGCTGCAGTCCGAGGGGCTGGGAGCAGGGGGGGCAACCCACAATAAATTCTAGGGCAGAGGTGGGGGCTTTAAGGCCAGTTCCAAAGTGGGTTAACATCCCAGGAATCTGTTGGTTCAGGAGAACAATACATTAACAAATCGATGCCTTTAGTGGGTTCAACGCCATGTTCACACTGCAGGGGCTTTTGAGTGACACAAGCCTGGCCTAACTTCCCCCACCTGGCATCTTCCAAGTGCAGTAGACTGCAACCCCCATCATCCCCAGCCAGCATGACCATGGAGTCCTGCAAGGCGGCAGGTTGAGGAAGGCTGTGCTACGTCTTAAAATAAGGTTTGGAGAGAGGGAGAGAGAAATCCTCCGCCCGAACTGTTGGCCCGAACTGAGGGCCATTGCAGGGCTCCGCTCAGCCACTGCCTGAGCCACAGAGATGTTGGGCTCATTTTGCTGTCCTTGCTCCCAAGGGAAGGTTCATGTCGTAACTGTGCAAAGATATACTGTGAGTTGTTGGGTCTGGAGAGACACAGCAATGGCTCTCATGCCAGCAGCACATCAGCTCAAGCTGAGCAGTTGTGGTCTTCCCTCAAATCCGGAGAATAGGAACCATCCAAAGGGTTACTTTTCCCCACTGGATCCCCCACCCAAGAGCAGCCAGTTGCCAGTCCAGGATGCTGCTAAGGAGGGCTTCAGGGCACAGTGTCCTTTATTATTATTACTATTACTATTACTATTACTATTACTATTACTATTATTATTACATTTTTATACTGCCCATAGCCAAAGCTCTCTAGGCAGTTGACAGCAACAATCATAGAATCATACACTCAGGTCATCCATCCCACTTCTGCCCAGGCCTGATCCTGCTTAGCTTCACAAGATTAGGCAGGATCATGCACTTCAGGCTACATGGAAGCTATTTTCAGAAGGACCCACTGCGAAAAGCTGCAACGGCCCCATCCAGCTTCAGAGCTGCTAGCGCTGGGAGCATTCCTGCCGCCTCCCAGCAAAATTTTCCCTTCAGCCACCTTCTCGGACCTCTTTACTTTACAGACCCTAAAGAACCCCAGAGTGGAGAAAGCAGAGATACTGGAGATCGCGGTTGGATACCTGCGGGAGATGAATTCTACCAAACCCCAGGGTACACTTGGAGTGTATGAGAGCTGTGCATGGGTGTCTGTGTGGCAGAGCCTGGGCTGGCCGTGCTGTGAGCCGAGGGTGAACCCTGGCAACGTACCAAAGGGCAGGGGAGAGGGACCTTCCCCCGGGGCGGCTATTCCCAATCCCCAGCAAGCTTGACCGATGTCATTTGTAGGAGAAAGTTTCAGTGGCGCATAATAGCTTCCAGAACATGTACAGCCAGCATGTAGAACCTCAGACTGGGGGGACCAAACACAGCTCTCCAGGGTTCTCCAGGCATCCACACTCCCTTCCGCTGCATCTGTTCCCTCTCCCAGCCTCACGAATCACTTGATGGAGTCCCAGCTTTTCTGCAGATTTTCCCCCCTTCTAAAAAGTTCAAAGGCCTGTGCCAGTAAGGCCTCGAAGCTAAAACGGGCTGGATTTTCTTTGCTCCGCTCCTGTTGGCCTTTCGTGCGGCCTCCTGCTGCAATGGCAGCCCTCAAGAGGCTGTCCCAGGCTTAGCTCCCCCTGCATGTCTGGTCAGCAGAAAAACGGGTTTTTGTAGGACTGTCTCCAGGGCTGTGTCCCAGAATCTTCCAGGCTTTGCTCACACGTGGTTACTCCCAGGGAACAATTCCACATGCGTCTCGGGAGAGCTGGTCCCTCATCCGGCCACCTGGAAGGTGTCCGTTCGAAAGCGTTTCCTGCTGAAAGTGAGACCTGAGCTGTGCCACATGGTCTTTGTACTCCAGAAGGGCATTTGGGTTGATGCAGGCTGTCCTCCGTTGCTGTTTAAAGTGGGGGTCCCAACCCCGAGTTCAGGGAAGCTGTTCGGGGCTGCACTGCAGTAGCGGGGTCTGTGGTGCCCAAAGAGTTTCAGCCCTCACCACAAGTGACTGAGCTTTGGGAGGGTCCAGAGGGCAGAGGAAAGGGGTGGAGCTAAGGAAAGGGGTGTGGCCATTTAGAGAGCTCTGGGAGGCCATAATAGTCTGTCCACTGGACTATGATTGCTCTGTTTCTGAGCTGTTGATTTCAAATGTGTGCTCGAGATGACTGAAGTCGAAATGCAGTAGTCAGATGCTGGTGGACTACAGCTTCTGTCAGTCCTAGCCAGCATAGCCAGCGGTAGAGCATGATGGTCCATTCACCTCTGGAAGTCAACGTGTTCCTGAATCTGACGGTTGGGATGCAGTTGTGGTTTATCTTCATAGTGTTTGAATGACCAGCCTTCTCGGGGGTTCTCCAATTTTCACTCTGCCAGGAGCGGAGTTCTCCGAAGACCAAACCCTGCAGACCTGCTACATGATGGGATTTCGGGAATGCCTCCTAGGCCTGGCGGCCTTCATCCAGCAGGCTCATCCATCTGTCCAGGTCCATCTTTTGGACACGTTGCATCTCTACCTTGCATCCAAGCCCGAACCCCACAACCAAGACTGGACCTTTGCCGGCTTCTCTCCGAGTCCTTCCTTGGAGTCGCCTCCGAGGACTCCCGAGAGCTTCGGCTCGCCCCTGAAGACGCTGAGCGAACCGTTACGGAGTCCGGACCCTCCCTGCTCCAGCGCAGGACAACTCGTGAGCCAGCAAAGAGACCCCCATGAGAGCACCCCCAAAAGGATGCTCCCCCCAGTCGCTTTCTGGAGGCCTTGGCCCTAGACCCTGGGCTGACACACCTCAACTTGGCCCAACCCTTTTTGTAAATAATCCATTCAACTTTTACTATCCGCATTAAGATCACCAGCAGGTGGCTTTGCCATGTAACAATTGTAGGAATTTACCCCTGACCGTCTGAGAGAGACACACACCTGAGAAAGATGGCCAGTTTCTTAGGAATTAGTTGCACGGCCCTTTTTCTACTCATTCAGTAGCAGAGTTGGTTTTGCCCATTCCCTTTATTTTATTTGATTTTTAAGGTCATGTTTAGCTCCAAAAGAGCGAGCACAAAATGAGTGGTTCGCATTTTGCTCGCCTGGGAGTCTTTCGCAGGTAAGTAAACGAAGTTGCTTGGAAGGAACGTGGCCAGTTTTTCTACAAATTTTGTCACCGGCCGAGTTCCTTGCTCCCGTCTGAGATCAGTGATGACGGTGGGGATTTCCTCCAGGGGGCGGGGCTTGGAGGTTAAGCCCTGCCCCCTGGAGGAACACCACAGGGGCCCCAGCTGGCCTGATGAGGCCCATGGGCCGGGGCTCCACACCCCTGCTCCAGCGGGATACCCAAGCTTCTCTGGGACCACTGCACGGCAGGGGGAAATCCACAGCCTGCATCTTCTCCCAGCATGGATGCCCCACAATGGGAAAAGCTGGACTCATTAAGTCCTATGCAAATTTACACACCAAAAGGCCTGCAGCATCCAGCGACCCTTATGCTGGCAGGAGCATGACGGAAATTGAAAGCTTTTTTCTGTCTGAAGCTGCAAATGTCTTCCAAGGTTGCAACTCCCAAGCCTGTGTAGAGAGTTGTAAGTTCCAGCACGAGAAACGAAAGAGCGTATCAACTGCTTTTCCTCATTTTCCATAACCTGCCAATCTGGAAACATTTTTGTCCCGTGTAAATAAGATGCCCGCCTTTTCCGATCACCATCGTCCACCAAGAGTGTGCTTGTATCAGAGCACTGAAGGGAAGACTGGAACAGAACCTGTTAAAAACTCTGAAACATTAGAGAGTCTATGCATAAATTCTGCAGATTCAGGGTAGATTCTTGTAGGTTGTATGCCCTTGGACACTCGCAAAGGGATGGCCTGAATGTTGGTATTTCTTTATCTCTATGCCTGCAAATATATAAGTATGAATATGTGTATGTTTGAAATCAGAACACGTACATTCTTCTACTTTCGTTTTCTTTTGTCCAAACTTTCAGATATCATTATTAAAATTTAGTAATGCCCTGTATTTGAGTGTTTTGTTTCAGGGAGTAATTTTTATTATTTTATTGCTTTTAACCAGTGCCTGCAGCCAGTGTGTTATCTGTGCCCTGCAACCTTCTAGATTAATCTGCCTTCAGCCCACTTGGCATAAATTCAATTTTACTTAAATTGCACTGATTTCAAGGGGACTAAAGGGTACCCACCTTAGGCTGCAATCATACACTTGTTTAGATTTTAAAAAAAAGGCTTACAATTCCCAGGATTTTCCAACCAACATAGCTTGGAGCGGGAGGACTTTTTTCTAAGAATTCATAGAATTGCGCCCTTGTAACTATAATCCTATACAAAATTCCCTGGGAGTAAATCTCATTGGACTTAAGCAAGCATAAGTAGTCTGACTCAAGACCTATGTACGAAATAAAATATATATCCACTGAAAATCTGGATAATTTTTTGCCTCCCCCAGAAACTTCTTCCGAGGAAGACACATTATATTACATAATACTTCGCATAACACAACTTTTCATAATCTCTCCTTAATATGCATTGACCCATGATTTTGTGGGGCAGTGTGTTTAGCATCCTTTGAGTTGTGCACGATCCAGGTTGTTGAGTCTCAAAGACTTCAGGCTAAGAACATCTTGCTCCTCTCTTGATAGATATATCCAGGACCCCGATGCTATCAAATTGTGCATGGTAAACCAAAAGGGGTGGATAGAATTGGGCTGTCCCCATCCCATAATACCAGAATGTGGGAATCATCCAAGGAAATGGGCGCACAGAAGATTCTGGGTGGATGTCAGGGAGTGTCCCTTGTAACACAATTTGTGTTTGCAGAACAAATCCCGCTTGGGAACGTACATCCAACGTGGTGCTCGGCACAGTTAACCGATTGTAAAAGATAATATGGCAAGTTTATGGAGAACCAGAATGGTGTGGTGGTGAAGAGCACGGGACTGGGACTCAGGTGATCCGGGTTCGAGTCCCCACTCAGCCATGGAGCCAACTGGGTGACTTTGGGCCAGTCACAGCCTCAGCCCAACCTACCTCACAGGGTTGTTGTTGTGGGGATAAGATGGAGGAGGAGAATGATGTAAGCTGCCTTGAGCCTTTTGTAGGAAAAAGGCAGCATATAAATCCAAAAATTAAAAATTGAAATAAATAAGTCCATGGATTGGGTGGGCAGAACAGCTTGATCGAACCTTCTAAGTTCGGAGAATATATTTCGGGGTGCTCAGCTTCTTCCACCCAGGGGACTGCGGGGGAAGATCTCGCAGCCAATTTTAGGAGAACGCTCTTCCTGCTTTTAACCAAACCTCACGAGAGGCATTTCAGCCTTCCAGAATCCGAAAACGTGGTGCAAACGCCAGAAAGCCACCAAATGATGGGTGGTCACTGTAGGGCACAGCTGTGTAGGGGTCACACACAAGCAGGATTAGGATTAGGACCGGGGGGGGGGGGTTGCATGGCAGTCCTGAGGTCCAACACCCGTGTTGTATTTTATTGGATGCCAAATGGGGGAGGCCAACAAAACGAGAATTGCTGGGCAGGGGATGCTGGACCTTGGATTTGCTCCAACACGGGGGTTCTCCTAAAATTTCTCCAGGAGAGGGGACCTCACCGCCCCCCCCCCCCCCTTGGCTAGCTCTGCAAGTGGCCTTCATGCATACGGCTAGCGCCCCAGCTGAGTTGCCCACCCACTCAAGAAGCACACTCCTTCCTCTGCCTGAGCTGCCCCTCCCGCTTCACTCTACCTGGATCCAGGTGATGGGTGAGCACCACAAGCCACATCCCCAAGCCAGAAGAACAATGCCGTGGTTTATTTTCCAAATTTCTAGAATACGCGCACAGACGTGGGGACTGTGCTAGGAGCAGCCAGCCAAGGGTTGGTGCTCGAGAGGGTCCCCTCTGGAAAAATTCAAATAGGGCAGCCTGGTTGTCTGCCAAAACCCAAAAGCAGCCTTCCCCAACCCGGGGCCTTCCGGATGTGTTGGACTACAACTCCCATTATCCCCAGCCAACTACACCCAGGAGCCACAGCAACTGATGCGCACAGGGCTTCCCCTGCCGTGCACAAGTTTGTGGGTACACGTCCTCACATGGATCTGTGCCGCACGATACGTGAACCAAGGAGAAAAAGAAGCGCAGATACTGAATTTCTTCCCATCGTGGGGGAGAAGGAAAGAGAGAGGAACCGGAGCGAACTCATCCCAACTGGAAGGCCGTGCAAAGAACGCAGAAATGAGGCGGCCTTCACTCCCAAAACCACGGGGGTACACATGACAGACAGCGCATGCACAGGCTATAAATCCTGCATTTCTAAATCTGAGGGTTTCGTAAAGCTTCTTCTCCATTGACTCTGAAGGGGGGAGGATGGGAAACGGAGAGGATGCCGACAGTATCCAGTTCGTTTCTCAGTAGACTGGGAATGACAGCTCCTTCTCCCATCACCCCGACGTGGGTGCTTCTCATCTCAGCAACATCCTATCAAGAACACAACAGGAACTGCAGCGGGGGGGGGGCACCTTCTGGGAGGCAGGAGGTCCTTCGCCGACTCCCTGGGAGCTTTTCCATCTCCCCCATGTGCAAAAGGGGCAGCCTAATTCGGCAAGCAAATTCACCCTGCAGATTCTGTAGGCTGGGCTTGCTTGCAAAATTCCTGATGCTTTTTCTGCTGCAGAAGGAAGTGGTGGGAAGGAGGAGAGCAAAGATGATCTGGGGACTGGAAGCGAAGTCCTGTGAGGAGAGAGCGAAAGAACTGGGTGTATTTAGCTTGGAGAAGTGAAGAAGGTGGTGCGGGGGGATATCACTCTCCAGGTGCCTGAAAGATTGTAAGAATGTAAGAACAGCCCTACAGGACCAGACCAAAAGTCTGTCTCACCCAGTACTTTGCACAAACCAGCTGCCCACAAGATCCTTCCAGCAGGATGGGTGCCAAGTTTCTCAGCCACCGGCGAATGCAGGCAGAGGAAGCCCATGGCCAGCAAGGCTAGTAGCCACGGAGAGCCTCCCGCTGAATTTGCCCCACCCCCTTTTAAAGCCATCCAGACTGGCGGCCACCACCCCTTCCCATGGCACTGAATTCCACAGTTTTAACTATCTGCTAGGTGAAGGCGGCCTTCCCGCCAGCCAGCTGCAAGCAATGCTCAAGCGTTGCAAGACGCAGCATGCATTATTTCAAGCGCCCCCCTTTTGTCTCCCCTTCCTCGCCATTTTTCTAGGCCGAACAGTCCCGGTTGTTGCAGCCGCTCCTCACAGATCCAGCCCCCCGATCATCTTAGCTGCCCTTCTCTGTACTGTGTACTTTGCCACAAGGAAGGTGGCCAGGATCTCTTCTCCGTCATCCCAGAGTGCAGGACACGGAATAGCGGGCTCAGGTTCCAGGAAGCCAGATTCCGGCTAGATATCGGGAAAAACTTCCCGACTGTTTGAGCAGTACAATGGAACTGATGACCTAGGGAAGTCTGGGCTCTCCCACACTGGAGGGCGTTCAAGGTGCCACTGGACAGCGCTCTGAGAAGGAAGTTTCAGGGGGGGTCCTGCACTGAGCACCTGCACCTGGTGGCCCGCGCCCCCCCCCCATCTCCACTAAGCTGCGATTCTGTGAAAATGTTTCTGTGAGGACATCATGTGCTGCCCACTGCTTCTCTACCAGGTCCCCAGAGAAATATGGAGGGGGGGGATCCCACACCTGATATAGGAAAAATCATATATATGTTCCCACCCAGGACTGGGAATTTGCCAGCATGCGTGCACATGCCGTCCTTTAAGCCTGACAGCCAAACTCTGGAAAGTCACATCCTCACCCCCCCCTTGCCCCTCTGGCCTGCCCCCAGTTGGCCAGTTCTCTTCATGGCCCCCCTGCAGCTGGCAAGGGCCACTCACACGTCCGTCTTGGAAGGGAGGGCGTTGCTACACTCTCCGCAAGGTGAAGGAGGGCCCCATGATCTGGACCTCCCTTGGCGCCTGTGTCGCCAAAAAATCAGCGAGTTCATTTCCTGGAAGGCGAAAAAATGGGATCTGTCCTGGGGGATGGGGTGGGAAGCAGTCTTCGCAAGCCTCTTCTCCCCACACAGGAACTGGGGAGCAAAGCTCCTCTCTCAAGCCCCCTTTTCCCCATGGGGGCTTCAAGATCAGCTGTGGAAAAAGACTCTTGCAGACACACTTCATCCGCCCAGAAGCGCACCCCACTGAATTCAGTGGGGCTGAAGCCCAAGAGGGCAGGGAGGAAGCCCCGGTTGGCTGCAGGCCTGAAAGTGCAGCTACCCCACAGAGGGCTTGCCCTCTGCTGGGGCTGGAACTGGCCCCCTCGCCCAAGCCGCCTGGCCCCTCAGGCCACGCTGGCGATGTACATGCAGAGGGCCTCGCGGACCCTCTCGGACCGGGCGGCGGGCTTGATGCGGGTGTCGGGCCGCTGGAGGGGCTGCTCGAAGGTGGCGGCCAGCTGCCTGGCCTCGGCCTCCCACGTGTCCTTGTAGGCCTCGCCCTTCTCCTCGCAGATGTTGTGCAGGACGCAGCAGGCCGAGATCAGGCGGGGAAGGTTCTCCACAGCACAGTCGTTGCGGCCCGTCAGGCACCGCCAGCGCCCCTTCAGCCGGCTGAAGGCCTCTTCCAGGGGCTCGTGGCAGCGGCTCAGGGAGGCGTTGAAGGCCTCCCTGGCTCTGTCCAGCCCCTCCGTGTAGGGAACCATCACCCACGGGAGAAGGGGGTAGGCCGGGCCCCCCAGGATGACGCGGGGTACAGAGACCCCATTGATCTCCACCGCCCCCGGGGGAAGGAGCGTCCCCTCCTGCCCTTTGGTGAACAAGGTGGATTTGTTGAAGATCTTGGCCTCGTGGGTCTTCCCCGGCCAGCCGGCACTCAGGTGCGTGAACTTCCCCCGGTGGTCCACCAGCGCCTGCAGCGCCATGGAGTAGTACCCCTTCGTGTTGACGTACTCGGCCGCCTGGTGAGGGGGGCACAGGATGGGCATGTGGGTCGTGCCCACCACGCCGGCACAGTTGGGGAAGCCCAGTGCCCGGAAGCCCTGGATGATCTCGGGGAGGCCCCCACCCACGGTGACCGTGCTGCGCATGAGCACCCTCTGGATGGCCCGGCAGACCTCCAGCACCACCGAGCCGGCGGTGGACCTGCCGACGCCGAACTGGTTGCCCACGTCGCGGTAGCAAACGGACGTGGCCAGCTTCCAGAGGGCGATGGCCACGCGCTTCTCCACGCTCAGCGGGACCCGCATCCGCGTCTTCTGGCGCTGCAGGGCCGGGGCCAGCTGCGCACAGAGCTCCAGGAAGGTCGCCCGGCGCATGCGGAAGTTCTGCAGCCACTGGTGGTCATCCCACGTCTCCAGGACCGTGCGGTCCCACCACTCGGTGCTCCTGGGGCGGGCCCAAAAGCGGCGCTCCACCGAGCGGAGACGCCCGCCACGCCGAAACCCAGCGCCGGAGGCGTGTCGGGAGAGCAGGACCTCCTCCTCCTCCTCCTCCTCCTCTTCCTCCTCCTCCTCCTCCGATTCGGCTTCCTCCTCCTCCTCCTCCTCATACCCTCTCTGCCCCAGAGTGTGCAGGAAGGCCCACCGGCGCCGGGACGCCGCTGCCGACGATGCCTCGCCGCTGGCACGCAGGTACTCCATCATCAGCGTCCCGGACTGCACAACACACAGGACAGCAGCCTCTCTCTGGGAGGCATCCATGCCGGGACTTTGCAAGCAGAGCGTGGGAGAGAAGCTTCGGTTTGGTAAAGAAAGCAAGAAGGCGTGGGCAACTACGGAGAACTAGAAGACAGGGAGGAACTGTGACAGACGTAAATAGAACGAATGCTTCCTCGATGCAACAGTCCTGGTCTGGACGGCCTATCCCACACTCCACAGCTCCAAAATGCCTCCAGAATGCAGCGGGTCTCTGGGGGGGAAATGCAGGTGATCAGGAGACAATTCCGTAGGAACCAGAAGCAAGGTCACGGCGCCCTTGTGTGCCCACCGGCTGGACGCAGCGCCAACGAGCGGCAATTCACCTTACACGCTGGAAAAAAACATTTTTAAAATATATCAAATTTTAAATATTATTAAAACCAGCAGGAGAGACCCTTCCAAAGTTATCCCCACTTGCAAAGTGCCATTTGTCGGGCATGGTGCCCTCCTGATCTGCTTGGACTACAACTCCCAGCATGCTAGCTGGGGATGCTGGGAATTGTGCAAAAACATATCTGAAGTCACTGAGCTGCATGGGCAACTGGAGACCAGAACGCATGGGGGACACGTCCCCAGGAAGCAGCCCGACTGCCGTGCCACCTCCGTGTTCTTTCAAAGCTTCTTTCTGCTGCTTTAACATGCTTTTATTTCACTGCATCCGTTATGTTCCGGAGTTTGGGAAATCACATCGCTAGATCTCCAAAAAGCAGCATAGAAACATTAACAAACACTAATATTTTTGCCAGCCAATGCTGAAGGCAATGAAATTGGACCCTGGCTTCATTTCTTGGTACCTGTTTTGGTACCAAGCAAGAATCCCCAGCAGGGGGGAAGGCAGGGCCGCCAGGACCAGCAGCTGGAGGAAACGCAGCCGTCGCACCCCTGCCCTGCCCTGCCCTGCCCATGGGGTGCAGGGGGCGCTGCTTTGCTGCCATGTGACCAAGGGGAACCCTCAGCCTGACCGGATGCGCCTCGTCTTTTGTTCTCGGCTATGAGGAACTGGCAAAAGCATCTTGCACCTCTGCAAGGGGGAATTTGGGTGGTGCAGCTTTGAGATGGGCCGCCTGCAACTCCCATCATCCTCCCCATGCTGGACAGAGGAGGGGGGAATGACTTCGGTTGTATCTGGAGGGCACCAGGCTGGGAAGGCTGCCGTAGCCAATTCTTCTCTAGAACGGCCAGGTTTCACAAGGACTCCTGAGGGCCAAACGGCCACTGTATTTGAACTTGGCAAGAACCCTTGCATTCACCCATCTCGCCCCGATGCACCTCCCGTCTTTCCACTAAAATAGCGCTCAAGATGGCTGCCCACCCCCATGCCCGATCAGAGTGACTAATAACCCCCAGGGTGCACCTGCTGGAAGCTTGGCTCATTTATACGAGCAGGGCATGCGTGCCATCTGCATCCAGGCCCTGCCTGACAACGGGGCACCATCACGGATTGGCCAGGACTGGACACCTGCGCCAGAGCAAATTACTTCAGTGGGCACACCATGCCCCTGCAGCTTCACTTTTCTGGGGCATTGTGGGAAAAACATGGCTGCCAGCACACAATCCTGGAGGCTGCCCCATTTGGGGTGCTTTTTCCCCTGCTCAGGACCCCAGAATGGCAGAAACACTGAGCACTGCGCATCAAGAAAATTATGGTGGTGACCCGTCTCCTCTGCTGGGGAGGCATTTAGTCCATGCTAGACTAAAGGGATGCTTGGTCCGATCCAACTGCTCAATTCAATGCAGGGCAGTTCACGCCCTTCCAGAACTCCGGCCTGCAGCTCCCATCATCCCTTCCCACTGGCTACGCTAAGGTTTTTGGGAATTTTAGGCCACAACAAGTCGCCCACCCGTCTTATGTTCCGCACATGCCTCCCTCGGCATCGGAGCTAATGGGACAGGCGAACCCATCTGCCACTCTTCCTGGCAAGGATGTTGTGCGATCCTTCGCGCACCGCCGATCGCTGCACTTCAAGTTTTAAGCATTACCCCCATTGCTGCCTGCCTGCTTTTGGTGGTGGCGGTGAAGATGACAAAAGGCAAGGAAAAGCAAAAGCCTTGCGTTTTTATTTTCCAAATCGGGTTCCGCCCCGGCCCTCTGCACCCTCCTGCCCACCGCCCCGTCTTCCAGCACTTTTCCACCGACCCGCCCCAATTTTTAGCCCTGCTTGTAACACTGGCGCAGCACGAAACAAACCTGTTTTTTTCTGGCTGCCGCCGGGGAGCTCGTCCTCCAACAGGCTGCAGGGGCGGTTTGGAAGGGAAGGGGAAATCTTAGAATGGGGAAAAGTAAAAAGGCACCGAGGTGGGAAGGGCGGCGTGGGGGGGGGGGCAGGGCTCTTCCCTGGGGCGGGGGGCTCAGAGGACGCGCGGCCCCCAATCTGGGAGCGCAAGGGTCGCCCTGCCCTCCGCCAATCATGCATTAAAGGGGGGGCGGAGGAAGGGGGGCCGGGGCCGGGGCGAGGACGTGCTCCGCGCACGCAGCGCGCTTTCCGCGCCGACCCCCGAGCGCGCACAGCCCGCGCGGCGTCCCTTTTGTCCTCGCGGCCGAGCGCGCGCGGGGCAGCACGGAGAAGGGGCGGGGGGAATGCAAAGCAGGCGCGGATGCCCATCGCCCATTGGCCGCCGCAGCGCCCGCCTTTCCCCGCTGACGAGCAGAGGGCGGCCGACTCGCCGGCGCGCCCCGGCGGAGGTTCCATGGTGTAATGGTTAGCACTCTGGACTCTGAATCCAGCGATCCGAGTTCGAATCTCGGTGGGACCTGCCCGGCCTCGTTTTCCTGCCTCGCGCCCCGTGAAATCGGGGGATCGGCCCCGCGAAGCCCTGGAGGAAGCGCTAACGCGGGCGAGGATGCGTGTGAATGCATCCGCGCCAGGCTCGGGAGAGCGCGAAAGCGGGCAAGCCGCGTGACGCGTGTGCAAGCTCTGGAGAGCCTCCGCTCTCTCCATCAAGCGCGTGCAAAATCGCGTTTTTGTGATTTCGGGGTTACCCCGATGAGGCAGCGCATCGGCTGGCGTTGGGCCAGTTCCTCACTCTCAGCCTAACCTACCTCACAGAGTTGTTGCAGTGAGGAGAAAATGGGGAGGAGGAGAATCTTGCAAGCTGCCTCGACTTCCTTGCTCGAAGAAAGGCAGGATATAAATCAGAGCGGGTCGTTAATTTATGTTATGTTAGATATTTGTATTTTATTTGTGCAAGCCGTTCTGAGGCTCTTGCAAAGGACGGCATACAAATATCCTAAATAAATAAATAAATGCAACCCTAATAATAAGGTACAAGGAGCTCTTACTTAAGCAGCTGACAATTAAAACAATTCCAACACCAACCGTCCTTATTCAAATATTAAAAACAGTGGGATGCTAACAACTGAGGACAGATGCTAAAAGATAGCGAAGGACAGCATGAACTTCTGTGTCTAGCCAAAAGCACTACCTCAGTTTCCACGTATGAATTTATTTGGGTGCCATCCAGAGAACTACAGGTATCTGGGTAATTTAAAAATCCAAGCAAGCCAGAGTGTTCCCACACTGGCCTCTGCCAGTACGCAACTACCCACACCCCCAGGCCTGGGAGATGGAAAAGTCCAGGTCGGGCTGTATGCCATCCGTGGCTCACTTCGGGGGTCTTTGCTGGTGCACAGGGGGCCGGGGGGGGGCAGCAAGGGGTGCTCTTCCCTTTCTCTTCTGGGGTCGTCCAGCAGCAACTGATGGGCCTCTGTACCGGTCTGCCTGACCGTGTCAAGCTGCTGTTTTCTCCTCCTTGCGTAGGTTTGTCATTTGAGAAATGCCTGTTGCAAATCCTTCAGCTGCGAGTTTCTGTCTGACGAGTTTGAATAGATTGGATTGCATGCTCTGGCGCGGCAGGATTTTGCAGTGTCCTTTGGAGGCAAGCTGGACGAGTGGGGTTTGCACCCGCTGCTTTAGTGCCCTCATCCCCAGCCCCCCTCTGGACAGTCATTTGGGGTGGGGGCCAAGCTGTGGGGCTCTGACTGCAGCCCAAGCACTGCCCTCTGCAAAGGAAGAGGGCTTAGAGGAGCCCCCGGCCCCTCTCTGGAGCACCAGGTGTCCAGAGATACGAGCAGCAACCTAGCAAACCTTAGAAACACAGAGCGCGTCAGAAGGGGCCTCCGGGGCCATCTAGTCTGACCTCCGGCACCAGCCGGCTCCGCTCACGACATGCCCGCCATGGGCACGTCCGGCACGCCCTTCCCCTTCTCCTGCACCAACTTGCATGTTCAAGAGGTCCTTTCTCCATGCCAAGAGTTGCTGCCTTGAACCACACCGGCCTGGCTCTCTCTCTCCTTCATTATGTTTCCTTCAGCCACCAGTTTCCACTGCTTTTCCTCCTTCCCACACCTAAGGAAACCCAGCCACTAAGGGAGGAGAAAACGGGAAATGCTCTCTCTGAGTTTCACACGTGTGCAGTCCTCATGCGTGGAGGGAGAGGGAGAGAGCGAGAGAGAAGACTTTCCAGACCTAAAGGATGCTCTCCACTCGTTCATGCAGGTCGAAAACTTCCTTAAGGTTTAAAACCTAAGCACTCGGGACATCATCCATGTGCCCAGTCCAGAGGGAGGCTAGAAAATGGCATCAGGAGAGCAGGCTCCTCTGTGGTGGCCCCCGATCTTTGGAACAACCTCCCTGCGGTAGCCCTCCCGGCCCCGGATCAAGACAGCCCTTTAGGTGGAGGCCTTTGGAGACCTCCTGGGTCACCCAGGTGCTTATCCAGATAATCCTTTCCCTTTGCAGAGTCATTTTCACTGTATGATTTTAGCTAAATAAATAAATACTAAAAACACATTTTGACACTGTTTTTATATGTATTGTATTTTTATGCAAATTGTAATGTAAATTTTATGTAATTAAAATTTGTTTTATTACAAATATTGTATTGTTTTATGCACCGTTGTAAACTGTCCAGAGAGCTTCAGCTATGGGGCAGCCTAGAAATGAAATAAATAATTAAATGAAATAATAATAATAATATTTTAAAAAACCCACCCCAGCCCACAC